AAAAAGAAAAAAGGAAAAAAGAAAAAGAAAAAGAAGAAGGGCAAGGCGTTCAAGGTGCAGGGAAAGAAGGAATTGGCAAAGGTCTTCGAATTTACAGGACTCGACCCCAAGCTCAAGAACCGCAGGAAAGTAATGAAGCGTGCGCGAAGAGCCATGAAGCATCGCTCGAAGGAAGACAGCGGGGACTCCTCGTGCACCAGCGCGGAGGGGAGTTCCAGCAGTGGAGACGAGGCCCACCTGTTCGAGGAGACGCGCAAGATCAGGAAGGCTGCGATGAAGGGGCCAGGCGCCCTTTCGGCCCACACCATTGCGAGCATGTCCAGGGCCTTGCTCACGCACCAGGGCTTGCCGATCGAGATCCAGGATGGTCCAGTACCGTGCGTAGCCCTCCAGTACCACAAGCAAGTCCTGTCGCAGAAGTTGTCCCCGCCATTGTGCAGGGAGAGCTTGAATCTATGTGCTGCCACGGACGCCATCTTGAGTGGACAGGTGGCGCTGGGGGTAGACATACTTCTCCAGCGTTTGAAGTCGGTCGAGAGCTTGGGAGGAGGACAGTCATGGGCGGCTTCACAGAAGTTGGAGTTGACACCTCAGGAGGGAGTCCAACTTGCAGGCGTCGAAGAGAGCAAGACGGCCAACAAGGAGCTGCGAGAGGAGTTGAAGAATCGACAAGCCACGCAGAGAACATGGGGGAAGAGCGACAAGGGAACTTCGAAGAGCAAGCAGGAGGAGGCAAAAGGGAAGACCAAGAAGGACAAAGGAGGAGGCAAGGACAAACGCAAGGGGGAACGGGAGAAAGAGAAGTAGATTCTCCTCCCCCATACATGACAGAGGCTGAGATTGAGACAGAGCTGGAGGAGATGGCAAGACTGGCTTCGTGTGGGGCAGAGCAGACCTCAAGAGTGCAGACAGATGACCTACTACAGATGCAGATGCCGTATGGGAGTGGGAGACTCTATAACCACTCCTCGGTGGCCATTTTGGCCAGTACAGTGCCGGATGAGGATGCCGCCTCTGAAGGCAAACCTACAACCAGTCCGCTTGAAGAGCGAAAAAAGGAGTTGGGAGCGGGCGGATTTCGTTTCGTGGACGTCGTGGGGGACTTGACCAGGGACCTGTCACCTTTTCTTCGCAAGACCTTGACCAAGGGGGAGGTGTTCCCACTTCCCTACGGCAGCTCCCTAGCTGGACCCCCGTTTGACGTGTTGGATGCAGAGGTAAGAGAGGTTTTGAGAGGCATGGTGTTGGCTCTCAACAGTGTGTATGATTGTGGTCCGCCCAAAAAAGAACGTGTGTCACCATTGCATGAACGTATTCTTTTTCAGTTGAGTGAAGAGGCCCAGAGGTTCGTGAGCAAAACGGAAAAGTTTGAGAGACTGTCGTGGCAAGACTTCCTTCGTGTGAGAAGCGTGGACTACAAGGGGGACGAGGTCAAAACAGCCCAGAGGACTTCTTGGGCACATGTGGCACCTGCGTTGCCGGAAGAAGTAGGCACGGTGGACCTGGAGCAAGTGGTAAGTGGAGGATGTTTGCACTATGTTCGGAACTTCACTCAGTACTTGGTCCCCGAAGAGTCCCAGGTTTTCACAAAGGCCCCGAAGGTGATGATAGCTGACGATGAGTGGGATTGCATGTGTGAGGGTTTGATGCAACGAGGTATTTGTGGAGCCATTGCAGAGAGCAAGGTCCATCATGTGCAAGGCCGCCCGTTACTAAACGGGATGTTTGGCGTTTTGAAAGAGGAAACGGCGCAGGGCAGAGAGGTTCACCGTCTCATTATGAATCTGGTCCCTCTCAATAAGCTGTGTAAAGGAATTGAAGGAGACGTTTCAACTCTACCTGCATGGCCCAGCATGAGCTCCTTTTTCATCCAGCCCACTGAGACCCTCCTGGTGAGTAGTGAAGATGTGAGGTGTTTCTTTTATTTGTTTCGGGTACGTCGTGAATGGCAACCCTTTTTGGCCTTCGCTAAACCACTGCCAGCCCGACTATGCCCGCACAACCGAGAAAGATTCTATCTGACTTCTTTGGTCTTACCTATGGGGTTTTGCAATAGCGTGGCATTAGCCCAGCACATACACCGACAAGTGGTCAGCAGTGCTTTGGAAGAAGCTCGAAAGGAGGGCCTCCAGCACGGTTGGGAGGCGGAGCTGAGAAGGGATAGACCGCTGAGTAGTGCAAACCCCACATATAGGATTTATTTGGACAACTTCGATCAGCTCGAGAAAGTGGACTCCGCTCTGGCAGAAAGAATTAAGGGTACTCCTGCCCCTTTAGTTGATAGTTTGCGAAGTGTGTACACAGACATGGCCATACCCCGTCACCCCAAAAAAGCGGTGGAGCGGCAAAGCTCTGCCGAAGTACAGGGAGCCTTGGTGGATGGTACAGAAGGGACCGCAAGACCGCGCCCCGAGAAAGTCATGCGCTACGTACAACTTACTCTTCTACTTTTGGAAAGTGGCAGGTGCAGTCAGAAGCAAATGCAGATTGTGGCAGGGGGGTTGGTCTACATGGCCATGTTCCGGCGGGCGCTGCTTGGTGCTCTCAATGCGATTTGGGAGTTCATCCAGAGTTTCGACGGGCTAGGGCCCCATTTTAGACCCCTGCCCCAACCGGTCCGACGGGAGATAGCGCGATTCTGTCTCCTGGCGCCGCTGGCACGGATGGATTTTCGGCTGCCATTCTCACCTACCGTCACAGCCAGTGATGCATCAACTACAGGAGGAGGAATCACCGCTTCGTCCAGATTGACTGGGATGCATGGCCGCCAACTGTGAAGTGCGCGGAGACGTGGTTGAACCCAGCGACCTTCCTCAAGTGCTCACAGTGGGTTTGTTTGACGGGTTGGGTGCACTACGGGTGGCTGCGGACGTGATTGGCCTGCCGGTAATCGGCCACATTAGTGTCGAAAAGCATGGGCCCGCAAGGCGAGTGGTTGAAAGCCATTTTCCGCAAACACTATTCGTTGAAGATGTCGAGCTGGTGGACGAGGACATGGTACAGTCTTGGGCATGCCAGTTTTCACAAGTGGCACTGGTGGTCTTGGGTGCGGGACCGCCTTGTCAAGGCGTTTCTGGGCTCAATGCAGACCGCAGAGGGGCTCTGCGAGACCACCGAAGCTGTTTGTACCAGTATGTCGACTTCGTTCACTCCCTCCTCAGGAAGCACTGGTGCACAGGCTGATGGAATCGGTCGCGTCCATGGATGAGAGTGACCGTAGGATCATGAGCGAGTCCGTGGGGTCCACACCTTACCTGATAGATCCTGTACACCTTTGTGGAGCTCGGCGACCTCGTTTATTCTGGCCGTCTTGGGAGTTGGTACCTGGTGAAGGGGTGACCATCTCCTCGGAAACAGGAGAGTCTTGGAGCACGTTGCAAACCGTGGCTCTTGAGGTAGAGTATGACTGTACTCGATTCCTGTTAGATGGATGGGAGAAAGTTTCCAATGAACCTTACCCAACGTTCACTACCTCACGGCCAAGCCGAACTCCTGGCAGGGGTCCTGCCGGCCTACAGCAATCGGGAGAAGACGTGCTTAGGGACTGGGCCAGTGACTTGCATCGTTTCCCACCATACCAATACCTTCACAAATTTCGACTGCAAGACAAGCATGGCAACACCCGCCTGTTGAATTGTGAAGAGCGAGAAGTTCTGATGGGTTTTCCACGAGGCTACACTGTTCAATGCTACCCGAAGCAAGAGCAGAACACACAAGCTTGGCAGGATGAGCGGCTCACCCTCGTAGGAAACAGCTGGAACGTCTTTGTAGTGGCATGGTTGTTGACACAGCTCTCCTTGGTTCTCGGCATAGGTCCGCGCCTGAGCCTTCGGGAGGTGGTAGAACAGTGCGCCCCAGGCGGAGGACGCGCCCTACAGAGTTTCCTCCTCCGACCGTTCATGCGATCACCGCGAAAAGCCATCAACGTACTCGAACTACGTGCTGTGTTGACAACGCTTCGCTGGCGCATTGCAAAGAAGGGTTGGCTTCAAGAACGATGGCTTCATCTCGTGGATTCCCTTGTGTGCCTCCACTGTTTGGCACGGGGGAGGTCCAGTAGCCGCAAACTCCGAAGAACTCTGCTCCGAATAAACGCGCGTCTCCTAGCCTCCGGAACGCAAGGCCTGTGGGCGTATGTCCACACGGCGCAAAACCCCGCGGACGCCCCCAGCAGGCGTCCTGTTCGAAAGAAATGGCTAAAGTAAAAAGGCCACTGTTAGAAGGAGGCTCATGGGAGGAGCGTAAGAAGCAGAGAGCAGAAATGGGAAGTTTGCGTTCACTCACCGTGCAACCACGCACCAGGGAGCGATACAACAAAGCACTGGAAGGATTTTGGGCATTCCTCCCAGATGAAGGCCGAGCAGTGCCCTACAATCACGCCGACCTTGACCTGTTACTTCAGCAGTACATAGAGCATCTATGGACAGAGGGATTTGGACGTGCGCAAGCAAGTGATACCGTTGCAGCACTACAAGACGCTCAACCGCAAGTCAAGGGACATCTCCGAGGCACATGGAGGCTCCTCAAGGCCTGGAGCATGAACGAAATACCAAATCGTGCGCCACCGCTACCGGAAGAGGCACTTCAGATGATGGTAGGATATGCATTCTTCAAGGAGCAGTATAAATTTGGCTTGTCCCTCCTCGTGGGGTTCTACGGGACTCTACGCACGGGAGAGATACTCAGTCTCTGTTCTTCTGACGTCAGTATACATGCAATGCAAGGACCTGCTGTCCTCTCCCTTGGCCTTACCAAAGCTGGCAAACGACAAGGTGCCTCAGAAAGTGTCACTTTGACTGTGGAAGAACCCCTTCGGTGGCTGCATGCTTGGAGCCGACAATGTGAGGTTCGTAGCCAGCTTTGCCCGTCTCCCGCCAAGTGGCGTCAACTCTTTAATGAGGCTGTCATAGCTCTGGGTTTTGAAGAGGTGGGCTTCCGCCCTTACTTCCTCCGCAGAGGGGGAGCCACGTTTTTCTTTCAAAAATGGGGAAGTT